GCTCATGTCATTGTATCGTAGAATATAGATGACGAACAAACACACGACGTATCTGGTCAACCAAGCGTAGAAACAGAGTAATTTACACCAAAGATAATAGCATTCAAATAGTAACTTGAAACTAGAAATGCCTTTATTCATGCAAGTCAATTTAACAATTACTCTCTCGTTTACACTTGGCTTATTCTCACTAAACTGAGCAATATGTTTCGTCTTTTCAAATGCACCAATACTATCATAGTCATTGCACAAGATACTTGAGTTGATGGGCGTCTTTTCCATTGTGGATGACAACACCAACGACGACTGAGTGACACAAGTTGATGAACTTAGCGGTGGATAAGAAGCTGTTGTTTCTCGACTTTCAGAAATTTGTCTACCTGCAAGACCACCACCACTGCTGTCTTTTACTATCAGCTCAGGTTTAGCACTAGCATCTGATGATAGGTGGGCTACATGCTGATCAATCACACTGACGGTCTCACAAGTATGCATGCCTTCTGCAACTGCATCTGCATTTATTTCTACTTCACGTTGTAGTTGTACAGAACCTTTAATTAACTTAGCAGTAGTAGGCATATCCCTCATCTCATCATGATCAACCAAAGACAACTGTGAAGTATCATGATCATTATCACGAATATTCACTTTACCGTCAACTTCATCATTTTCAAACTCTTTAATAACAGAAGTAGACAATTTTGGTTCCTCCTCGCAAATCCTAAAAGGTTTTATACCTTCACTCTGACTAGTAATAACTTGTAAACTTGTGGAGTCAGAACTGCACTCTGAAACTGTAACTCTATTCTGTGACACTCTATTCAACAATGGCTTACCAGTTGCAACTACAGACTTCTTCACAACACCGTTATCGTCACACAATTCGGAGTCAGACCTGGATTTCACATTTAGCTTATCACTGAACTTGCTCACTGATTCACAGTTCACCTCTGTATGCACCTCTTGCAAACGTGTGAAACACAACCGTGTTTGTCTTGCATCTTGTAACTTATCTGTTGAGGATGTACTACGAAACCTGTTACACTCACTAGGTCTATATGCATTACTGGACATCATGGAGCCTTCTCGATATCCACCTCTCTGAGGCCTATTCGTCATCAATGATTGCATTTTGCACTCAGACTGCTCTATTCTAGGGATGAGATTCAATATACTGGCAAACTTGCTCATCGATTGATTGACACTATATTTTACCAGTTTCAGGATATCATCAAATTTTGGCTCGATACCCTCATCCTCCATACGGGAGCTCATCTTCACCCACTTCCTTTGCAGTCGAGTAGGTAGACGTCTTGCTATTACTTCTAGTATAAAACTCGAGTTGAGGTCACTCATGCAATTCATCGAAATCATTCCATTCTTGTAAATTAGCAAATTATCTAAAAACTCAGTGAGTGCCTGGGAGTCATCCTGTAATTGACCACCATTACCCTTAACAGCCTCGAATAATTTCCCTGCAATCATCGAAGGTCTTCCAAACCTTTGACGTAATATGCTCATAGCCTCATCGTAGCCCTCTTTTGGCTTCATAAACTTACAGCACTGTATAGCTCTTGCAGCATCTCCAGTGCAATATCTCATCAAATACATTAACTTCAATTCATCATTTAATAATAAACCACTCAACATGATCTCAAACTCCTTTACAAATTGTAAATAATCAGCCGGGTTTCCATCGAAACACCATGGTTCAAATTTAGGGAGTTTGATGTTCCTATTATCTCTGAACGGCGAAACAGTAACATCAACCATGTCATGCTTAACATCAGACACATCGTTACAATTAACAGACAAGTCACCATGACTTACTTTCCTGATTGCATCCAAGACGCTCTGTCCCTTCTTTGACCCAGGCATTGTTGAACTTGACCCAATTCCAAAAAGTTCCAGATATTGCTTGTTCAAAGAGGACTTGACCGGCACCAGGAAAGATGAACGGTGACTATCTAAACTTTCACCAACTGTTTGAATCCGCTAAATCTGTTTCTACCATCAGAAACTGTCAGCCAGGTCTCGTAAACCGTTAATGCCCAGCTCTTGCTACGCTCGCGCTCACGCTGTTTCTTGAAGCTTCTCAGAAACGCTTAGAAATAACGGACGCAAAAACCAAAACACAGATTGGCCAATCGAGAATTCTTTGTTGTAACACTGTCAGACACGTCTCATAAACCGTTAATGCCCAGCTCTTGCTACGCTCGGGCCCACGCTGTTCCTTGAAGTTTTCAGAAACGCTTAGTAATAACGGACGAAAAAACCAAAACACCGATTGGCCACTCGAGAAATCTTTGTTGTAACACCAACATATAAAAAATGTTTCCACTAAGGTCTGTAAACAAATATTACAATAATAAATCACAATATTACTTCTGACGGTTTACTGCTGACTTCTTTCTGAACAGCGACCGATGAGACGATGACTGTCGTATTGATGCCTCCGCGAAAATTGGGGAAGTTGGTTTTGAGCAAACAACCGTGAATTAATCGTTCAATCTTCAACTGCATTGACATATGTCTTCGAACTATAATTGTTTGGTGTATTCTTTTTGTTTCGTACTTCGGTGTCTTTGTGTAGTGCTTGAGCCTGAGAATGGGCAGGGTGGTTGTAATGATTATGAAGTGCTTCATGTTATATATGATATGCTTACGGTGTGTTTTATTCGTCCGAAAGGTATAGTTGGTTGATGGACAAGTCAATCAAGGAAAGGATGACTTTGTAGTTGTCTAAATTTAACCCACAGTCTTTTAGTGAAGGTCTAAAGGACTGCACACACTTTTTGAATAGGATTGAACATAAGTTGAGTGGCAACAGACTATATGACGAAATAAGGCTAAATTACCTATTAAACATTTCACTGGCTAAACCGGTAGCACGATTCATTGTTGTAAGCTCTTATCTCGCAAAGATATGCATATTATGCCTTGGAATTTAAAGGCTATACACGACTTCTAAGAGCGTTTCTAACATTGCCAGCGGTAATGATCGGCAGTTAAGAGATCATTTCGAAATTCTCACTTTATTTTTGGATGAACTGCAAAAATACTTCGATATCTTTGAATCCCATGAGCGATCTGAACTCGGGTTCTGTTGCTGAAGAAATTACCAGACAATACCTGCCTCATTATTGATGAAGTGGAGCAAGATCCGTCTGAGCATTCAGGAAAAAGATGTGGAATCCAAATCTGATGGTATTTGGGGGCTCATGGAAGACGGTGTAAGCCAAAAGATCAGAGATCTCGCTAGCATCTTGCATATCACTCCTTAAGCTGATAGATTCATAGGCAACGAAAATCAGTTGTGATAAAATATTTGCTGAGCAGAAAGACGAATCAATTTCGCTCATTCATGACCACTTCATGGATATGCCGATTTCCCTAAAATGTCTCGTTTGGAAACATTTGAATTCGTATGGGCCCATCGGCTGGTCCACGACTACGATTCGGGAATTTTTCAGAAGCTGTAGCTGCAGATATGGAGTAAATGGTCTTGCAAGTGGACATGCCAGATAGTAAAAAGAAACTGTCTCAGTTTTTGCAGTTAGAAGGCAGAATTTCTGGGTACAGAATGGCAGCCCATCCATACAACGCTTCGTATTCACTGTTTTGTACTTGTTTCGCTTTATGCAAGGCTATGTCTGCATTTGGATAAAAATGACTCCCTTTTTTCATGGACCACTGTCTAGCATCCTCCGATAAGATAAGGTTATATCAAGTATTAGCCATGCTTTAGCTAAAGCTAGCTTTCGTATGCCTTAGAGAGTTTCCAAAAACCTATATGTCTTAGGACTCAATCCCAGATATCATCGTATCTCTTCTGTGTGAATCATCTATTGATTTACTGTATATTGGGGTAGCTATCGAACGTCAACTATAATACATTTGGATGATGTTATGGTCGGCTGAACTTAAGATTTCTCCCCGCCACCACAAACCCTCATGTTTTATCCATCAGCACTGAATCCAGTCACATATATGATAATGAAATGTTTCAGCAGCGTATTGCGTACGCTTGCAATTTCTGAATTAGAAAGCTACTCTGAAGCCTTCTTGCTGAAAAAGATTTTCCAATAACACAGTTGCGCTGTTCATATGTTCACTGTTATAAACAAAATAAGCAATTCGTCAGCTGTATTTCAGTATAACAACTTAAGAATAAACATTTGCAACCCAGTATTCAATGGAGGACATAAATGTTATACCTGAGGTAAAGCATCCACTAAAGTGTCTGTTAAGTGACGACTTCACATTTCGTACTGACTGTCATACTTAAAAAGGTATCGGCTATTCGGTAAACTCATTGATGACGTTACTTGAGAGTGCAAGCGTTATCCTTCGAGGGGTAATAAACTAGTAGTAGTCTCAGTGATAGACACCTTTCAAAATACTGCATTTTATATTTCAGGTTAGTTTGTGTGGATGTTTTATGGAAACACACTAAAGACTGAGACCATCCATCTGGGTTGTTACCAGTCACATTTATTTTTTGTCCACTGAATGCCCAACGTCAGATTGCAGACCACAATACTTCGATGGAACATAAAGTATGGAACAAGTTACCGTTCACTGAATAAACTAAGGTCGAAAAACGAGCTCTGAACGTAAGTACTAGCAAAAAAGGGTTTGTAGAGTATGGGAAACTTTTGTTCGCATGAACTATTTTGAATTTGTAAGTACGTCAGGATCTAACAACAGTATGTCAAGCTCTTTCCAAATTAACATCCTCAAATTCATATCCTCAATCACAACTTCGGATAATAACAAAAAGAAGTGGAAAATAACTAAAAACTTGTAGATGATGATAAAGGACATTTTTGAAGTAAATCCTTCCACTAACATATTAGAAATTACATGTCGAAGGTCAGGAAAAAGGTCAGTTTTTGAAAAGGTACGTTACTTCAGCAGTATTTCATTCATTTCGTTTATTGTTTTCTCACGTGAATCGTTACTAAGATTGGTGAATATCTTTTGCTCATTTTATTTCCATGGCGAATTTATTAAGGTGCATGCTTGTTTTATTATATTTGGGGCGGCATGTCACGTAATCCGTAGGTAGTAGTGCACAACGAATCAGTCCTGTTTATTACAAACATAGGATATTTCTCAACATCTAGGGAACAGATAGGATCCGCATGAGCACTTTAAAACAACCCACAGATAATTTTACCTGGTCTTTAATTTCGCTTTCTCTCACCCCAGGCCTGGCTCTATACAGTAATCATTCACATTAGTATTCACACTACTCTGAGAAGCTGGGAGTTACTGCTTCAACGTCCTAAACAAGGTATCATGTTTGGTATTATTCAACTGCAAGCAATTTTTTCCTGGAATTACATGTATTCCTCCTAAAAAAAACCTGATTTATTCGCATACGGTCAGTCAGTCGGTCGCTTGGGCAACTATTCTCTGATTTCGTTCAGTAATTTGTACAAATGACTTCTGTTTACGTTTCTCGACATTCATGGTTTTAAAGTCTATGCATTCCTATTCCCTAAATTTCGTAAGGAATACTGGTCATCCCGGATATCTCTTTCCCTGTTCATGATTTAGCTTATTGCACCTTTAAACAGCTGGTTAGCTCACAACTATTATTTGTTTCTGTCATTTCTGTATACAGTGACTCTGCCTAAAGTTGCTTCAGTGCAGGGATTTAATTTAAATGTGTAACTTCAAACTTCAAGTTTCTGTCTCTTTAGTAACACTAAAGTGACTTCTAACTAAGACAAGGGTCGCGTAGTTACAGGAAGTTAGTCATAGACTTGGGGTTGGGCTTAAAATTTGGATCTATGTTTTTTCACCCCATTAAGTATCCGTGTGCGTGCTTTGCCCGTCTAGAGCAAGTCGTTTGATGTTGCAGACATTTTTTTAGGAGTTGATGTAGAGTTAATCAATCGATAAGAGTACTTTTATTCCACAATCATATAGTTATTCAGATTTCAGACCATTCATCACATCACTCTACGGCCAGTTTGTATTGGTCCACCTAACGACTTGGAGTTCCAAAATGAACTAATATTGAAGCCATATTAAAGCCTTAGCCTAGACAACTCACGCCCGGCTCTTTTTAAAACGCTACTCAAGGAACCGACCAGATTGTTCGGAACACGAATGTATTTTATCAGTTTGCAATGATTCTATTATCGTGCTTATCTTCACAAACGTCCTAAGCAACATATATGGCGACAATCTACCGTGAAAATGCAGACTGCTGCCGTGCTCCGTAGGCAATATATATTTTTCCGCTCCACTATTTTTCATCTTGATTGATCTCATTGTGGGTACATTCGGTTGCTTTTTGTTGCACTCGACAACTCAGAAAAACTGTCAAGTGACTTGAGTTATCGTATTAACACCCTTTTATCCTCATATAGTATGTCTGGTGATTGTTCTGTTTCGGAACCCTGTGACAATTCGGTAGCCATCTATGAGGCGAATGAAGATGATATGGAGACAATGGAAACAGAAACAATAGTTGAAGAATTTGTGAGGCTGAAGTTAAAACAAAACACTGGCATCATTCAACGTCGACGAACCTCGACTGATATGGAGTAAGATAATTACTAAAAAAAATACTAAATAAAATTTAGAACGCAAGCTCTCATTGGTCGTCTTATAGAAATATCAAATGAACTGGAGGCTCAGTATGGTGAACGTTTGAATCGAGACGCTGAAATGTGGATAAAGTCGGCTACTTATGACAAATTCCTGCAGATTGCGAAGGGGTAGGCTTTCTTTTCCTTTCTATTCTTTATCATGTATAACATTCTTTAATCGTATGTTAATTTACCAGATAATGTGTAATGCTCTTTAAATGGTATTCATAGATGCTAGTAAGTGCTTAGGAGGTGGATATGAGATACTTTGTATGTTGAGCAGTGATCATTAACTCTACAATATGAAGTTGAAGTTTATCCAAAAGGATATTTCTAGGTATCCAGTTTGACTTGCTGAAGCATTTCGTCTGTTAGTGCAAAACATTGGATGCTACAGCATTAATCCTCCCGTTTGTCTTCATTCTATCTACTCAAACTTAGTAGTTTATCGAAATATCAGTTCTTTTTGTTTCAAAGAGAATATTATATTTAAGGTCAATGTTTTTGCATCCTTCACTAATTATTTATCGTATTGTTTCAGTATTTATTTTATTTATTTATTGTGTTCTTTAACCAAGACGCCTTAATTGTAGAGCTTACGTTGTCCCTCTAGGTAATATCTTCAGCACCATTTCAGTTTAATAACAGGATGTTTACAGGACATTTTTGATGCTTAGTATGTCATTTTGGTTTTTTTGTACTATTGTGACGAACAAAAAATCAATCGTAATAATGGAATATTTGCAGTTGTTATAGCTTTCCAGAGTCTCTGTCGAAGAATATTGATTAACCAAAGTAAACACGTGTGTCCCAGTTACAGTTTTTTCGAGTCACCTGCCAAACCACCTCGAGAAAATGAAGTATGAATGAATTTAGGAACACAGTAAAGCAACTTGATCAGCACATACGTACAAGTTTAACTTTAAAACTGAAGTTCTATTCGACTGAAATGTGATGAACGAAGTAATTTTCTATTTATTTTTGGCTGCTTAATTAAATCATCTGGTTGACGATTTTTTGGAAGTTATCCTTAGCCTCCTTATTTTTATGCTTTTTATGAATCCTTGATTTTCTTCCTTCATCTTCTGTGAAATTCGCATACAGTTGGCGTTTATTTTTAGTAGATTTGTGTTGCTAATGTGTACATAGAAGCAACACGCCAATGCTTTGCATTCCTGATTTTTATTCATTTGGTAGAATTTTTCTACCAGTATGTAAGAGTATTATGAGGATTTTTTGGACAGTGCAAAACCATGATTTGATAAGGAAAATGGTTTAAACACTGCATTGTATAAACGTTTACTCCTTTTGTCTTCGGGTTTACTATATTAGTGCTAACTGATACGTATAGTATATGAAGGTATTTCTTCCTAACTCTACAGGAGCAGTCGTCTTTTTGGAATAAAAATCTGCACGCATGCCTTTTAGACCATCCAGAAAACCTAAAATTCACTACAGAATCTTACAAGTACTCAACCAACCACTAACAATCTATGACCTACTTGGAAACTGAAGCCCTGAACGATTCTGACTGTCATTCTTTGATTGATAACGACTAAAATAAAATTGCTTCCTTGTTCGTTAACTTTATTGCAGACGTGGCATTCAAATGGAGAGTTTTCAAACTAGTGTAAGGTAAAAGTGTAAATCTTTAAACAATATGATACAAGGGTTAAATATTTCACTACTTTGTATAGAATTTTCCAAAGACTGGTATTTTTCAAAACGTAAATTTTATGGCATAAGTAGACCATCTTACAGTATTTCTTTACAATTTGTTGTTGGGTAAATGATCTGTTCTTATGGTGTGGTTTGAAAATTTTATTTTTTCCCTCTCAGAGCTATCGTTCATTCACTGAGCATCATTAGGTGCTAAACAAGAAGTGTAGCTTATGACCTAGTTTACACAGCGTTTTAAGAGGCTAGTTACTTTGCTTGAAGGCATATAAGCTCGTTTACGTGTTGACCTCAACCAAAACTAACTTTCGTGATAGTTACGTGACTACCTATCAGTGCTAGACCTTCACTTCGGCCACACCCATCGGGTTGGTGTAAGTCACTGATTATCCCCATATACAAGAAGGGAGACAAGTCTTCCTGTGATAATCACAGAGGGATTAGCTTGACTAATATAGTATCTAAAGTCCTAAGCTCAATAATCATGCGTAGACTAAGTGGTGCTCGGGAGGCACAAACACGAGAGAGCCAGGCAGGCTTTAGACCAGGAAGAGGGTGTATTGATCATATCTTCACCCTCCGACAGATTCTAGAACATAGGCATTCCTACTGGCGTCCAACAGTCATTATATTTCTTGACCTAAAGGCGGAATTCGACTCTGTCGATCGAGAAGTTCTCTGGAGATGCTTGGCTGTAAACGGAATTCCGAGAAAATATATTGCACTGATTAAGGCACTCTACTCGTACTCATACAGCCAGGTGAGGGCTTACGGCGAGTTGTCATCTGAACTGATGACGACCAGTGGTGTCCGTCAAGGATGCCCATTATCCCTTTTCTATTCAACTTCATCATAGATGTGTTAATGGACTTAACCCTAGGTGACTTCAGCGACTCAGGGATTGACTTGCTACCGGGAAATAATCTCGTTGACTTAGAATATGCAGACGATATAGTCCTTCTAGGCGAAGACGCTGACGAAATGCAGAGTCTTCTAAACACCTTGAGCTGCAATCTACGAATGTTTGGCATGCGATTCGCTCCCGCTGAATGCAAGATGATGTTACAGGACTGGACTACACCGACACCTAGATTAGAAATAGGAAGTGAAGTGGTAGAGCATGTTGACCGCTTCACTTATTTGGGAAGTACCATCTGCCAACGCCAAAGGATTGATCTCTGACGAAATCTCAGCTGAGTACGGATACAGAGGGCTAGTTTCGCATACGCCAGCCAGTTTACGCCGTCTCTGGCGTAGACGTGATATCAGGCTGACTATCGACCAAAGGGCGGGTGTACTGCTCATCAGTCCGCTCCGTCCTCCTCTATGGCCAGCTGTGAGACCTGGCCACTGAGAGTGGAAGACATGAAAAGACTAGCTGTATTTGATCATAGGTGCCTTTGTTCTATTTCCCGTGTGAAGTGGTATAATAAGGTGTGCAATATTGAAGTTAGGCGTCGAGTTCTAGGTAAGCAGGGGAAATCAATCGACGAGGTTGTGAAGTTATGTAGACTAAGGTGGTTAGGATATGTGCTACCTATGCCTAGTCATCGCCTTCCTCGACGAGCAATGTTAGCGGATATAGGGTCAGGCTGGACAAGAGCTAGCGGCGGTCAAACCAAAACATGGCCTCACCAGTCAATAAAATCTACAACAATTAGTCTAAGCCACGTAGAAAGGTGTAGACTTCCTGACTGGTTGGGGTCCTCGGGACGGTAAAAACCAATGGTTGGAAACAATTGGTGACTTGGCTCAAAATCGTTCTCAATGGCTGGTGCAGATGGATCCACTCCTTGTGACTTATGATTTCCAATGAAACTGCTTTGTTCTTCGTTATTACTATCCCTTTGTCTCACACCTCTGTTTACTGTCTCTGTTATGCATTTCTTCTACTTTCTTCTGTTACTTTGTGTGCTACATGGAGTGTGGCGACTTGAACTGCCGCAAAACGGTGCAAAGTTCTATGTCTAAAACAGACAGACAGACACCTGGCAGACTGCTTAATTTAGCTCATCCTAATCTGGTTGCCAGGTTTCTCTTGACACCACTCAACTAATGATATCAGAACACAACACTTACGTCTTATCTAGGATGTATTCAGCTAAAGGAGTTTTGAGAGTACTACAAAACTACAACGAATCAACACTGCACAGTCATCATACTCTGTTCCCTTCAAACAACCGACTGTTCGCGATGTGTCTTCTTTGACCTCCAATTCTATTAAAGAATATATCTTTCACTCCTTACAACTTCATGTTGCTTACTTGTTTATAAGAATGCGTGGAATAAGTACATAAACTTATTACTAACTAAACAATTAGTGCTCCAGGCGTATTCCTGAGTAAAGCGATCTTTTCATCCTTTCAACTCTCATTTAATTGCAACTTTGATATAAATAACTTATTTCACTTATGATTTAACATGTTGCGTGTTCTCAATAGTTTTATTTCGCACTAAGCATAATTATTATCACATCAGTTTATGTGATATACTTTGTTCTTCAGGGATTTGTCCAACCGGGGATTTAAAGGTAATACTCTAGCATAAGACATAGTGTTTTTGTGCAAACTTATATCTGACGAATTCAATGCGTTTTGTTTTATCTTAATCAATCCTATATTATTCGTTTGTTTTAAATGTAGATTCATCTACTAAAAGATAAAGTAAAGTAACGCAAAAGTGTTGGACAATTCTTCATCACCCTAAATACAACTATTAAAATACTTCGTAATAGGAACTTAAAAAAGTAAAATACCTTTAACTTTCAATATTGTGGCTAAAGTTCTGTGTCGTGTTCTATTATAGGAACTTTATCTGCTGCTCATTAACTAGTCCAACACAAATTTATGTATTGAAGTCTTTCCTACCTACAGTATGTTCTACTTTAGTTTCCAATTTATCGTAGCGTCATCTTTTGTCTTTCTTAGCACTCTTCTTCGCTCCTACGTTCTTTGCATTTTAGACTGAATTCAGCTTCTGTTTTCTTTGTTTATCTCTGCACTGGTTCATCTTCTGCTTTACCATCTTTCTGTCCTCTATGAGCTTTTGGGTGTCTGTGGAGAATTATTCCTTGTTTTTCCCAGGATATCTATACAGGTTTCGTTCCACATTGATTTCAGAGAGTTCTAGTGTTGTCTAATGTTTCCGATGTTTTCCAGATGACTGCAGTGAAGGTGTCTTACGTAGCTTCATCCTTCAGTTTCTAAGTGTAGAACTTGGGTTTCTGTTTATCTGTGGCTTCTGGTTTTCTAATATATCCATCTAGTGAGAATCACACTGCCTTGTCGATATCTTGGTGTTCATACACGCTACTTTGAACCACAAAAATCAATGAAGGCGCAGAATTCCGAAAAGAATTTTCATTACATGCCCTCTGGACGTGTGATGAGTTCTGTGTCTGTTCTGTCTGTTCCCACTTTGCTGGTATTCATATCACTCATTAGGAGTTTGATGTCGCTACCTTGCTGGGGTCTTGTCGATTACTGCTTGCACTTGTGTGTAGACACAGAAGACTGGTTCTGGTTTCATTAAAGCCTTCAATGTTGCCGGTGACATCATGTTGACCACACTGTCTTTGTGCTCTTGTTTGTCATTTGAATAAAAGAAGTAATTTGTTAACTCTTCAGCTAGTAATCTCCAGACTTCACGTTCATTCTTTCTATCTGATGTCACAGATTCCTAACGCCTGTATGCCATATCTTCTCATTTCTTCTACAATGTGGGCAGCCAGCCTCAAAGATAATGCGGGTATTCCATTCCTTCATGCTTATTTTTGCTTTTAAGGTAAGAAGACCCACACGCCGACTGACTTTTCAAAAGTGTCAGTCCAATTGCATCATCTGTCCTCCTTGGTTTCAGAGGAGTATAAGTTAACTTTTTCTATGTCTTGAAGTTGCAGCAGTAATGTAATGAGGTTACTGACCTCTCTTTTTCTGGGTGTAGGACCAGCTAGTAACCTTGGTAAGCAGGGCGATATAATGCGTAATAACGAGGTTAACCACAGAATGTTAGACAAAGAAGATAAGTCTACCAGTGACTTTATGAAGCACCATCTACTGATTTGACTAGGATCTGTCACACATGTTGTACTGTCGTCTTTCTCCATGACCAATTTTATCTGATGTAGGACAAGGTTGGAAAAGATTTTGGTTACCAGATAAAAGCAGTTGACCGGTCAATGCATTCTCTGACTGTAGGTTTATACGTGATCCGGTTCCTTGAAATACTGAGAATCGGTTGCCGTAAGATGTCGGTTCTACCGCCTGGTTCTCGGTGGCAAAGATGTATTCACTACTTTTGATCTTCCAGATTCTGAAATTCTTAATCGTTTTCTAATTATTATTTCTCCATAGTAGTTTAATTACACTACTTTCCTACACTTTTATGGCTGCTTTGAAGAGAAGTGTGACAACTTGAAATGATACCCCGTCGTTCAGTTCTCTCAGAATAGCTGCAGACCGGTTCTTTTCAGATAGATGAGTGAGTGCTTTCAAAAATCCTGTTTTAGTGATACTGAAATCATTACCTGATAGTCTGTTACAGTTCTAGTATGGCTCAGATGCTCCAAGTTTCTCAGCATCATCACAATCAGTGCAATCAACCATGAATTAGCTGTAACATCTTGGCCAAGCAATGACAGCGACTTTAACGTCTGCATTTTATTGAAATTTCTGAAAATTACAGTAAATACTATCGGCGAAATAATGCTTCTTTTATCAACACAGATTCTCCGCTTTAACCTACAGTGATATTCAATTTGTTTATATTGTTAATTAAGTAACAGTTTCTTGTCTATATCTGCACACTTAATAAATAGTATGTAAAAGACAAAATGTTGTACCTTTGGCCAATCAGACGGAAAATATCTAGTGGCTAGATGTTGTCTTCGTAAACTGCACTACTGACTATTTATTTGTTTATTAATAGGTAGTCTGAATAATTGATTAGGGGCTGATTGACCAGCTCTTTGCAAAGGCTGATATTTTTCAATCCCGTTAACTCAGTTATACCACAACCTCAGTCCATCCCCAACTGATTGACTTTATGTATTTATTTGTCTTTTCAGTAAGAACCAGTGAGTGTTTTTTTAAATTAACGTTGAGCTATTTTAAACTACCCATTTTATTGAACCCATTAATTAGATTTAAGCTATTTTCAGAAACGTTCATTGAATGTTGATGTTGTTAAATACGAAGGTAGGGAGTAGCTTTTCAGTTAAAATTTATTCACTTCACAATAAATAAAATCCAAAAAGAGGCGCGTTTATCCATTCTATTTATTTCAGAGTCTTTTCAGATGGAGTTATCAACTGGTCACGCATAGTAGTGCTGTTCATGTTTGCTGTTAAAGTGGTGTTCAATGCAGTTTCAAAAGGCTTTAGTGGTCTTGCCGGAGATGTGATACGCTTTGTTGTCAAATTCATTTTTATTCATGGCATATACACATGGATACAAAGTCATGGTGGTTGGGTAAGTGTTCTTCTGTTTGTGCTAATCATCTAAATTGCCTGTTTCTTTATCTTTACAACTGGTGCGGTGGGCTCTGGTCAGCAGTTGAAACGAATGTCTAAGATAAAGGAGTCCATGGATGGAATCGTTTTTCCAGCAGACGGATTTAACGAACTGTTTGAGCTGTAGACACTGACCAAGCTTTTTTTATTCTGTATTATAATGCCTTATTAAATAGTTCTTTTATTTTTAGTTAGTGTAAGTTTATTTATGCTCTTGATTGTTTTACATCACTGAATGTGCACTTCAAGTTTGCTAGTGAAAAATAATTTCTAAAACTTCAATAATTGTTGTAGCTCGGTCGTGATGTCAAGTAGATGTTACATCTTGCAGAAACCTGTAAACCACATACTCTTTAGTGTGTTTGTTCAGCTTACTTCTATTTTTATCAGTAGTATAATGCAAATGACTGAATTTTCTCCGAAATTGTGTTACACAGCCGCAGAAGGCTTGCGTGGAATAGCGCGGTATCAGTTTACTGTTGTTTCCAAGCAAAATAGCAAGTCGCATCATCATGGAGAATCTGAAAAATTCAATAATAATCACCATCTAGATAGACATTAATGAAAAAACACGTGGTTCAGCAAAGTCTCTTTTCGGCGAATTCATTCACTTAGTTGTACAATCGCAATTATTTATGATTATTTGTTTATATATATATATATATATATATATATATATATATATATATATATATATAAACAAATAATCATAAATGTATATACCGATACTATTACCTTTTTCTCAGCCGTGCGGGATATTGTTCTTGAACCCTTTTAGACAGGATACGAATCGAACAACCAATATACCTGCCTCCATATCAGCAGATGAACTGATATCTGCACACAGAGGTGGCCAGATGCGAGATCTTGTCCTTAGGGCTTCTGCAGACCAATGGACGACCGGAGAACACTACTGGCGTTTCTGCGAAGAGCTTTCTTCCCAAAGATGCTAAAATTCTTCTTTCGAGGATATCACAGACTAAGTCTCCCTTGAAATCCAAGTTCATGTAGAGTTGCTGTTTTGGAACAAGTAATGTTTCGTTCCTCTGGACTTTTGGTATGATGTCCTTGTCGATGAATCTTGGTGGGTATCCATTTTGGACGAAGGTTTCTTTCAGAAGATCCATTTCTGAGCTTCAATGGATTTAATTAGATTTCGTTTTCGTTCAACAAGCACCCAACTGTAGAAACTTCTTTCCGAATGGGTTTTCCATGGACTGACTTTATTAAGGTTCTGTCGGGTCGTCATATAAGCTCCACATCAAAAAAGGGAATTTTGAATTCATTTTCCATTTCTAGAGTGGATTTTATTGCTGGATGACGGTTGTTAAATATTTCTAGCAGTTTATTGGGGTCGTAATTGTTGTCGCAAATAGTGAAATTGTCATCTACATACCGTGTATACAGTTGTAAATTTTCAAAGGATGACTGTAATGGATTATTCTCAAGGCTAGCTATGAAACAGTCTTCTAGTAATACACCCAAGGGAGATCCCATTACAATGCCGTCCTTTTGTCTTTAGATAATGTCAGTGAAAGTGAATTGTTCATTGAGAGTACATCTTAGCAGCAGTTCCTTCAAATATGTTGTTGGTATTCCAATGTTTAACTTTCTATCATCTATATTTTCACATATAAAACAGGTAGTTTCCGTAAGTGGAACATTGGTGAAAAGTGATTCATTGTCGAAGGATAGCATACTTTTGTCAGTAACATTCATATCATGTGTGCAATCTATGAATTGGAAGGTAACACGAAGCGAGTACGTGCATAGATGTTTCCTTACAGGTTACAGAGTATCAGCCAACTATCTCGTGACAGAGTGGTAGGGGGAACCTGACATATCTAGAAATGGGGCGGAATGGATGACCAACTTTGTGTATCTCTCGTAAGCAATAAAGCACCTGAAAGATGCTCTGAATGCCTAACTCTTTCTCAAAGAAGCTGGATTCGGGAAAAGCAAATCATGTGTGGGTCAAACTTCAGCACTGCGCATCACCACTGAATAAAGCATCGAATGGTAATCAACTGTTTACCTTAACTTCATGGACTTGGAGAAGGCTTTCGACTGTAAAGTAATTAGGAAACTGCTTCAGTACCACGGAGTGTAGTATAATAAACATTTAGAAACCTCATTCAGTACCTACCTCTATGGTGCTACATGCCAGGTGATTCACAACGGAAACCTCAGCGAAGAGTGTGAAGTGAAGACAGGAGTTGGATAAGGCTGCATACTATCACCGATGATATTCCTGATTGTCATTTCATTGGAACATGAGACAAAGTAGAGACTAAGAAGACAAAAAGACTCGAGGAGATCTCGGCTTAGTGGATGATTTATCTATGTCTGATGTCATTCATACTGGAAGACCTACAGGTTAAAGCCAACAAGTCGGCAGAAGAAGCAATGAAGACAGGACTTCAGCTGAGAAACCAGAGGAGGTGAAGGTATTTGAAAATTTGAAGGAAATTGTCTATTTCACTTACCTCACCTGAGCAGCATCGTTTTAACTACAGACGACATAAATGAGGTTGTCAAAGCCAGCTATGATCATCAGATTAGGCAAACAAGATAGCCATTCACCAATCTCAAGTCAGTGTGGAAATCTACCGCTGCCAGCTTAAGGTGCAAACAAGATCGGAATTTTCAACAATAATGTCAAGCTGCCTTCGTTCAATAATAAAGATCAGTCGGCTAGCCAAAAAGTATTGCCAACAACGAACCAGCACTATTAGTCGATCGCCCAGCAGGTAAGCAAAAGGAAATCGAGATGGCTTGGACACACACTGAGGAGACTGTTGACTAACATCGTCCTCCAGGCTGTTGAATGGGGGAACCGATGGGTTGGGCTTTGGGAGGTGGCGATATGCTGTAGGAGATCGTGCGAGAAGGTAATAAGAGCTTATGAGCAACTGTGTGAAGCCAGCTCAAAAGGACTGCAGAGAATGGAGTGAATTGTGTGTATGTGTGCCGCTGAAGCCTTTTTTTTCACTCGGAATCCAAGCTAATAAGAATATAACTATGGGGACTTGTTTCCTAATTCATTTTGTTGCATTTCTTTCCGACAGCCTGCTCAATACGTATGCATTGTGTAGGATCTTAAAGTTATTTGGGTTTACTTTTAAAATATGTCTTCCTTAACTAGACCCCACTGGAAGTTGGCTGTAGTCTAAGTAGCTTTTTGTTTAAATATTTTGTAATTGGTTGATTATGCAAGTTTAGCTATTTCATCGGAATGTTTATCGCCTTACAATGGTGTATGTATGTGTATTGCTTGCTTAGGTTTTAAACCTAATTCATACTTTTTACGTCCCCATAGACACTTGAATGAGAGAGAAAAAGTGGTTCTTTGAAAAACATTTTTTATGTCGAAACAATCTCCTGGAATAATTTGTATTTGCTTTTTTACTACGTACATATTAACTTCTTTTTGAAAGTTTTAATTGCAGTTGCGTCTTTTTTCCCCTGTTTTTAGGTGGCTGTTCTACGCGAATATACCCCACATTCTAATTCAAGTGGTCTGATCGTATTCGGCCTTACTCTTTTGATTGTTTGTTTATTGTTATCAAGGAAGATTTAGTTAAGATTCCTATGTGTGTTATCTTTTTTATGAATTGTTGTTAACCATGGTTTGCACAACGGCTTACATACGAACACAGTACACCAGTGATACGCCTATACATTCATGACAAATTCATTCAAAATGGGAACAGGAATTTTATTGGTTTGAAGAGTTTTCACTTTCTCTTTTCCTCCTTACCTGCGAAAAGCAAATTATGAAATAAGCATTTCAGGTTTACTATTGTTATTATTATGATCATGATTTTGAGGGTCAGGCATAACAGTTCATGAAGATTATACATATCCGTGTTTTGTTGCAATCCCTTCTACCTGTTTATCCATACACCTAGGCATTTTCTCTTATCTCTATAGCTAAGTCTCTCCTGCACCACCTGTTTTTTAGATATGCGTGTCTATTCCTGTCGCTTTGGTTACACTAGTCAGTTTTGCTCACACTTCTTCTACGTTTTTCCTCTCCGTTCGTTCAATGATGCCAGAAGAGTTCAATTTTGTGTATATTTTTCAAACACTGTCAACTTTACGTGCCTTGTTTATATATGTGATCACCATTGTTCAGGAATTTTGTCTTTTTCATCTTAACAATATTCAGGTTTTGTAATCGAATAGGGTGCTGCATTATTGGTCTTTAACTCTCTATTTATTTCCTAGTCCTCCTCCTCTTGCCCTACATTTGCAAATTTGTTATGTTTACTGAAATTTGCCCCCTTAATGGATTGTTGTTTCTCCAACACGTATTACCGATTTTTGCTGTGAAAAGAAAAAGACAAAACATTTTTTTCTATTTTATCTAACACTTTCTAGAATGTGTTTTCGTTTTCTTTTGTATTCTGTGTAAATTATAATTGCCATTGTATATATATAACATTATAAATTGTTCGTTGGAACGGAATGTTGTCGCTTGATGCTGTGTTCCTTGTTGTATTAGCTGTTAACACATGTCGTCAGCCGGCAGGCATTGAGAATTAAACTTTGCAAAGCATTGTGGTGCGTTATTACAACCTAGCATATGCAGAAATGATGGCCATCAACACCTCAACAAAGACCAGTAATTATACTATGATCAATAAAATGAATTGCGTTCATATTTTTTCACTTAGTGTCCTACAAATATGGTGCGTTGGTGGCACAGTGGTTAGAACTCTCGCCGATCATGCAAATGGTCCGGAGTTCGATCCCCTGCCGACTCATACTTGCTATCAATGGTTGACCTGCAAAATTTGGGCTACCGATATCCATACTGAAAATTCCATACCTGTACCAAAAATACGGTGTGTAATCAAGCTGTAATCAAAAAGACGATAGCAATTTTACCATTCATACTGAAGGGATAGCTTTTGTGTCTCTTATTGGCGGTTCATACATACACTGAAGTATATTGAAAGGCTGTTTGTTGTATCAAACATTGCTCTTTGCGTTGCAAAATGCAAAGGAAACATTACTTTGTTTTCATATAAGTCATTCACGACGATTAGAAAACTCAACAACAATCAAGTTTGCGCCTAGGTATAAGGAATGCTCCTGTGGAGTGAGCCAGTTACCTAGGCCGTACAATTAGGCGTGTTTCTCGTCAGATTTCCGAACATCACCCTGCATTGTGGTTAAGCAAAGGACAAACAAAATCTTTTCGAAACGCTATTCTATCTCATCTTGTGGATACAGAACACAAGGTTGACGTTAACCATGTTTTCGGGGTCACTTACCGCATACCTACGAATCTCAATTTTGCCTTAAGAGTTCGACTACTAAATATTGATTAGGTTGTGGGGATCCATAATAACAAGCCTAATTTGTGCATCCAAAAGAAGTTAGTTCAGACATTATCCTCACCTTGGCCATCTAGGTTTGAATGATTCTGAATTTTTGTGGAGATTTTCCTGATTTTAGTTGATATTCTATTTGCTATCATATCTTTGTTATTATTATTATTATTAAAATTGAAGCATCTTTAATGAACTGTAATTCCAGTGATCTTACTTTAACAAATCGGTATTATTTAAAAAACACTAATATTGTTACTGACTACTATTCTAGAATATTCTCTGTATATAAAAAATAATTGTAAAACCGGAAGGGGAATTTATCGAAAAGGATATTCTTTGCTCGATTATTTTGTGTTTTATAAATGTCTAAATGAATATTTTTGCTTAAGTTTTACTCGATAAATTGTCCGAACACTGTGGGATAGACAAAAGTGGATTTAGTCCCTGTATCTACTGTTGAATCAATTTCTTGTGCCTTATCGTCACTCATTAGGAGTTAAATGTGCCTACGAAAACCATTATTGGTCGAAATCCATATTTTGCATTGGAAATTGACTATAGACCTGGTGCAAGTCGTCGGTAATTTTCTCTATCCCAGGAGTGTTACTAATGAGTTGTAATGTATTCAGTAAATGTACAAAATACCGGTACAGAGTTCAAGTTGCATACATTAAAACTAAATATTCCATGCTTGGAGTGATATGACCTTTCTTCGATCATACTATTAATTTTAGGTAAAGTACCAGTAAAACATTTAGAAACTGGATTCCACCGGAAGTAACAGAGATGATTTTATAATTTATTTTATTCCTTTACATTCCCAGTGGAACATAGGGCTTCAAGCTAGATGTTTCGGCACCAGTGGTGTTTATTTTTACGGGATGGGGTTGCTAGCCTCCTGCCCAACCTTCCCTCTTTACCAGTCCTACTACTGGCTTAGCTGTCTGTCTGTTTTAGACATAGAACTTTGCACCGTTTTGCGGCAGTTCAAGTCGCCACACTCCATGTAGCACACAAAGTAACAGAAGAAAGTAGAAGAAATGCATAACAGAGACAGTAAACAGAGGTGTGAGACAAAGGGATAGTAATAACGAAGAACAAAGCAGTTTCATTGGAAATCATAAGTCACAAGGAGTGGATCCATCTGCACCAGCCATTGAGAACGATTTTGAGCCAAGTCACCAATTGTTTCCAATCATTGGTTTTTACCGTCCCGAGGACCCCAACCAGTCAGGAAGTCTACACCTTCCTACGTCACTGGCTTAGACTAATTGTTGTAGATTTTATTGACTGGTGAGGCCATGTTTTGGTTTGACCGCCGCTAGCTCTTGTCCAGCCTGACCCTATATCCGCTAACATTGCTCGTCGAGGAAGGCGATGACTAGGCATAGGTAGCACATATCCTAACCATCTTAGTCTACATAACTTCACAACCTCGTCGATTGATTTCCCCTGCTTACCTAGAACTCGACGCCTAACTTCAATATTGCACACCTTATTATACCACTTCACACGGAAAATAGAACAAAGGCACCTATGATCAAACACAGCTAGTCTTTTCATGTCTTCCACTCTCAGTGGCCAGGTCTCACAGATGGCCATAAAGGAGGACGGAGCGGACTAATGAGCAGTACACCCGCCCTTTGGTCGATAGTCAGCCTGATATCACGTCTACGCCAGAGATGGCGTAAACTGGTATATGTGAAACTAGCCCTCTGTATTCGTGCTGAGATTTCGTCAGAGATCAACCCGTTGGCGTTGGCAGATGGTACTTCCCAAATAAGTGAAGCGGTCAACGTGCTCTACCACTTCACTTCCTATTTCTAATCTAGGCGTCGATGTAGTCCAGTCCTGTAACATCATCTTGGATTTGGCGGGAGCGAATCGCATGCCAAACATTCGTAGATTGCGGCTCAAGGTGTTTAGAAGACTCTGCATTTCGTCAGCGTCTTCGCCTAGAAGGACTATATCGTTTGCATATTCTAAGTCAACGAGATTATTCCCTGTGTCGCTGAGGTGAGTTAGGGTTAAGTACATCTATGATGAAGTTGAATAGAAATGGGGATAATGGGCATCCTTGACGGACACCACTAGTCGTCACCAGTTTTGATGACAATCCTACTGGCTTAGCGAGGTAAAGGAATACGTCGGCCGGGGATCGAACCCCGGACCACATGCGTGGTTGACGAGCATTCTGTAGATGCCAAAGAGAGAGGAATAAAGATTTCATTTCCATGTTGTCGAAAACTATTACTGAAACAGAATTCAACTTCTATCTAAGCGGATCAACTTGTATGGACTGCAAGGATAGTCGTACTGCTGATTTGTATGATGGAGTTCTCGTAGCATTTCCTCAGAAATTTAGTCCGTGGATTCCTTATTACACATACAAGCTTCCTTAAGATATGAAACATCCCACTGTGTAGTCTCACCTCACATGTGGACAGCTATCTAGTATATTTCAAAGATTCTGCAATGTTATGTCAACTCATGAGAAAAAAATCTGTTCTCAGATTAATGATTCCCATAGGTATCAATGAACTACCTTTTATGGAAGTTAGTCACAAAGGACAAGAGTGTATGATTTCTGTTATATTATTACAAAAAAACACGTTTCCAAAAACATTTATATACATTAAAGGATATAAGATATGATAGTTTTGAAAATATACCAAGTATTGTTGTTGTAAATGGTTATTTTGAACGAAGCGATTTTCAACCTTATATGGAACCGAATAAAACTGATCCATTTCATTTCCTAGTTATCACTGCTTGCGTTCTGAGTGAGACATTGGGCATCAGTAGCTGTTGAAGGCCTTATCAGCAGAGTCGATGAAATTGACTGCCTTGTCTTTGCTCTGTTCGATAATGATGCGTAGCATCGCATAATTCACCTCCACGTCGATTTCAGTGTTCTTCCATACAGGTTTTCTCTGTGATATTGCTTAATGTCTCCAACTTTTACCTGATGACCGTTGTGAGGTGTCCTTTATAGCTGTGTCCTTCAGTTTCTTAGTGCTAAACTTGAATTGTAGTCGATCTCTGGCTTCTATGAAGGCATTCAACCTGGCCTTGAAGGGTCTTTGCACTAGGTAGTAATCTGAATCTATATCTGCTACTCTTCTAGACATTCCGTCCAATAAGCTGCTTTACCGGCTTCATGAAATTGAGATAAAGTCTACCGGACTTTTGTGATACCCATCTGGTGAAATCCACATCACCCTTAGTATATCTTTGT